TCTATCTATAGAAGCTCCAGATTTTCTTTCACTGGTCAAGAACTTTGAGAAAGCTTTTCAACTTACCATAATCAATAATTGGCCTGGGAGAAGTAAAGTTCACAAGAATCAATGTCTTAGGAAGGAAACTAAAATCAATTGCATTCTCCATCCTTACTTTAGTTTGAACTATTTCCAGTGGAGCTATGTGCATCACCACATGAAACAAACTGGATTCGAGTACTACAGTAAACACTCTGATAATTTTTCTTGCACTTTGACTTTATTTATTTTTGCCCCTGTAATGAAAACTAAAACAGAAACTTGGCTTCTGTGATCACTTTTAGATGCTAAAATATCTAAAAGAGTATCAAGTTTGTAGCACTTATTTATTCCAGGTTAATGTTCCAATCATTCAAATTCATTTATTTGTTTACTAACTTTTAGCAGGATTGACTTTGGATTTTTTCTGTCTGTTTTGGGTACAAACTTGGGACTCATGGGGTACTCCCGACTTTGAGCTCAGGGGTCACTATATCAGAGCTCAGGAGACTATATGCACTTCCAGAAATTAAACGAGGGTTATTTGCATGCACAGTAAGCCCCTTAACTCCTGTATTATCTCACCGACCCATCCTATCCAAGTTCATTTTCAGTTAATAATTCCCCCTTTTCTCTAGGCATGTAGAAGCACAAGTTGTAGGAGGTAAATGGGGAGGAACAAAACAGATCTTGGCTGGTACATAATGAGCATGCATCATTAGCACTCTGGGTAGAACAGGTGTTTGCAGCTGGGTCCCAGAAAAAAGGGGGGGGGGTCTTAGCTGGAAATTCAACATAAAAAATCTATTGGGGAGCACTTTAAAAATACTTCACAAGGGAGAAAAAGAAGCACAATCAGGTAGATGGAGAGTTCAGTTTATGATAACAACAGACACTCAGTTCGTATAGCAAGTAGGCTAGGGTTTTGCATGTCTGTAATTTTCAATGAACCAACCATTTCATGAGGTGTTAGATTTTTATTCTTTAATTTTACCAACTGAGGGTTGAATTCCTCTGTTGTGTATACAAGTTTTAAGGGTAAGAAACATGAAGTTCAGTCACTAAGTCTAAAAAGAAAGTGAAGTATCTCTTCCTTTCCCTGAATATTAGAGGTAGGATTAGTTAGAATTCTACACACCCTGCCAACTCTCTTTGAATCTCTCTCTAACATCCATTGATGTTTATTTATTTATTTATTTATTTATTTTGGCTTTTGGGGGGTCACACCTGGTGGGACCCTAGGAACTATATGGCATCTTTTTGCCAATTTTTAAAAACTGTATGGTCATTAAAATATTTCACATAATCTTAATTTACTTTCTAGTTTTTTCTTTGATACCTGTGTTTGTAACACCAAAGTATTCATTTGGAGCTCCAAAGACAATGAGACTAAGAAAAAGAAATATATTAAATGACCTTTTTAGCAAATCTTTGCCTTTCACATTTTACTTATATTTTAGCAATGCAATAATCATTGGTAATCTCATGTGACAATAATATTTTTATAGAATAATAAGAGATAATTTCAATTTTGCTAAACAAAATAATGAACTTAAAAATGATTCATAAAAGTTTCTCTTCAATATGTCAATCTATTATTTGCAAAAATGTATGAATTTGTAGTATTACTATCAAATTGCAATAAATTTGATCAACTTCCGTTTACATACAATCTGCATAAGATTTCACAGCCTTTCAAGTTTTCTTGTAAAATCATAAATCAGTTTATCAGCAATGCCAAGGTAGTCATGGTGTATCACTCTCTATCTTGCCTCAACATTGTCAGTACATAAAAAATATTTGATCTTTTCATCTGAATATATATTCAGTCCTCTTACAGGATACAAATAATAGAACTAAAAATGAATTTGTTAATATAGCTCACAGGGAAGTTGTCTAGTCTGTGTGCACTGTACTTGGGCAAATTTAGTCAAAAATTGAGTGCTTTGTATAAATGTTTAATTTTTACTAGTCCAGTTATAGAGTAAATTTATAATGTGACATTCTAGTGAAAAGTTTCATGTACCTCAACACCAATATATGTTGAAATGGAAGAGTAAATACTTATTTTTATAACTGTGAAGTTAAGTATTGTTAATAAACTAAACTATAATCCTCTCCTTTATACTTGATTGATTGGGGTGATAAAAATATTTCAATGCACTTAGAAGAATGCATGTGATTATAGTAATCAAATTTATCATCATGGGGATAAATAAAATAAAATTCTGTGATTTTAATAAACTTACATTGTGTTTCTAGTCTATAAATTGAAGGTTTTTTTTAAAATAGTAGCAGGCATTTGCTGTCCTACTGGGAGTATTTGCTGAAAGAGAAGAAACACTATCTGTTGAACATATCAACAACATGAATGAAAATGGTGGGAACAATGTCAAATAAAATCTGCTTGATAGACATCACCACCTTCTGCAATCTATCTACTCATGCCAATACATCCTTATTTTTTTTAAAAGATGACACCAGTATCATCAAATGATAAACTGTATTTCTATTTGTGAGAACGTGTGTGGAAAATAAAGAGAGAGATGCAGAGATTGACATAGAAAAAGAAATAGTGAAGAAAAGATAAATGGGAAAGGTGTGGAACAAGAAAGAGATTTATTTTAGATTCTTTGGAGCCAAAGAACAAGAACAGTTATTCCATTTGTAATTGAAAGTCCCAATATTTAGCTAGCAAAAGAAATGGCAAATATATAGGAATTTATCAAGTATAAAATATGTATTTTCTCTAACATCTTCGTCTAACATATCTAACAAATCTTTATCAATTTTAATCCATACCGCAGCATGTATTGATACTTTGTTCCTTTTTTATAACAGAATATCCCATGATATTGTTGGGTGGTGGGAGCTGCTAGTGAACTGAGAGAGACAGCTCAGAATAGGATAGTGAGTATAATATCAGGTTCAGCGCTGAGGATCCCAAGTCAGAAGAGATAGTTGGAGCTCCGTTTACTGAGAGGGCCTTTCTTTTATCCTCTAAAAGTAGGGATACAATCTATGTGCATTCTTATCAGCGAAATAGGGGATACAAAGGTAATAAGTTAAAGAAAAACTATCCATGCATCCTTCCCACATGGTATGGTCTTGAAGTGCTCAAAGAAAACCGTCAGTGTCAGTATCTCTTGCCCATTTTTGGTGCTGCCTTCAGGTACCTACTCCCATGCACTCCATAAATCTGTCGGGCCCAATGTGCTCCCATCAATCTGGTGGGCTGGTGGGCCCTTAATTCAATTAACTGGGGCCATAAAAGGAATGTTTCTCCCTCCCTTTTCTTGTTTAACTTAAGAGGTCAGTTTCAATTTCCCAGTCCCCATCACATTTTCTTAATTTTCATTACAGTTCCATAATTCTCATTACATACACATTCTTATTTGTCATTACAATATGAGTATACTATATTCAGTTTATCTATAATTGTTCAATAGGTATTTGAGTGTCATACATTTTTTAAACTATTATGTTTTTATAAATATTAATATGTGCACTTTTGAGTGGACATGTTTTCAGATCTTTGTATTTACTGAGCCATATCGCTGAATAATATGCTAACACTAATTATTTAAAGCACTGCCAAATAGTTTTCAAAACAGATGTGCTATTTTATACTATTGTCATTAGTTATATGAGGTTTTGATTTCTTAATTTTTTCACAAACTCTTGTGAATATCTTTGTCATCTGATTATTAATAACATTTCATTATACTTTTGATTTGCATTTCCCTAATTGATGATACATGTATACTTTTGTATGCATAATGGCCATGTGAAAATTTTCACTGAAAAAATCTTTCCAAATTATTTGAAAATTTTACAACTAAACTAGTTGTCTTTGTATCATTGATGTTAAGAGCCATTTGTTTATGAATATATATCTTACAAGATAAATTTAATAAATTTATATTCCATTTTTCTCCTAGTATTATCTACAAATAAAGATGAATAATACCTTGGGGAATTTCATAATCCTTTAATTCTCAGTAATTTTCTGTTTTTTGTTAAGACTTGGTAGATCTATCATAGTTATGTGTATTCAAAAGTAAGAATCGGACTTTGCTGAGATTAAAGATGGGGCAATTTTAGAGTCCAGTTGCCCTTTCTTTAGTAAGTCATAAAAATGAATATTCTACTTCTAGGGATTAAAGTTTCTAAAGCTAGAAGAAAGGGAAAAAAAGGAAAGAGACCAAGAAATAGTTCAGTGTACAGGAGCATATGTTTTTCATGGGGAAATCCTTCTTTTTTTTTTTTTTCAACTCTGGCACCTCATAGTCTTTGAGCACTGCTGAGAGGACTCTAAAAGTTTGTGCCAGGAGCAGTCTCAGCACCACTGGGTTGGCCAAAATGTGAATTGATTAATCATTTAATGAAGAAGCCTACACTTGAGTTTACATGTGAAGTCTCTCTTTTACCATTTGCCTTCCTTGATTTACTGCAAATGTCATTTCTATTACTCAATTCAAATGAATGAAATAAAATTCAATGACTTCAAATGGGTATTAGTTTATTTGGTATAATTTTAGAATGTAACAACTGCTTTTGATGTTATTTTAACCTGTTTGAGGCAAAGTACCACAGGCTATATCATTAGCATTATTCTGTTTTCTTCTGATAGTGCCCAAAATAAATTAAATCCATGTACTTATTTGCAGCTCACATAAAACTCCTTACTTGCAAGATTTAAATAACTTTGAAAATGCCCCTAAGGTTTATCCCAATTGAATAAGTAGCCAGATTCTTACTATACAATCTGAAAGGAAGCAAAATTTTCCATCAACCTTTCCTATTTTCCTATGGAAAATGTCATATACCCAAGAACCCTCCTATTTTCCTTTTAATTTGTCACATTTTCCCTTCCTGACTTCTAGGAAACCATTTTTTCCCTATCTATAGCACATATGCTGGGGTTTTGCTTATTTTCTCTTATCTATAACATGTTATTTTTATTTTTTTTATTTTTTTATTGAATATATACAATTTATTTAATAAATTAATGTCATTCAAAATACAGTGCCAGAACATTATGCAGTTGAACATGCTAGTAATGTTTGTCATGAAGCACCTGTGCTCATGTTAGATTGGCGGCACCCCGCTACTGCTAGTGGTTCCTGGGATTAATGCCAGAGCAGCACTAGGTATCTGCTCTTCTGCACAGCTAGTGCAGAGAATTCCTGAACAGTTCACCGTCCTAATCCTACCCACCCCACACACACAACATACACAACAGGCTAAAAAAACATACCCTGACAGCTAATGGAGATCTATACACAATCACTCTACAGTAATGCTTGCTATTAATTTAAGATGTAAATTACCTGGTTAACCCACTCTAAATCTTTAAGATGGAGAAATACATCAGCAGCAGGTAGGTATATGCATGAGCCAATGTTAACATAATACAGAAAGTGGAGCATTTCCTGATTAAAGCTCCACCCCAACCCGCACAATGAGGGACCAGCAATTCTTATTGCAAGCCCAGCAACTTAAGTCCATACCTGGTAAATGACCAGCTGATTGGAAGACCTATATTCTAGATAGACAAGTATAAGTTATTGAAAAGGGAAAACATGCACCTAATAGTATAGTTAGACTGATCCTGCATTCTTAGCTTCCCTGTAATACCATAAAATGGAAGATCTTCCTCAACTATAAGATTTAAACAGTTTTATACCAACATGGACATTAGTGTTAAGTGCAGCTGAATTAATTACACTGAAAAAATTATTCCAGGACTTCAGAACAGAAGCACGAGAATGAAATACATATACTAAAATAACTTTAGCACAATTTGCAATATACCACACTAGGAACAGAAACTACTTTAATAAGTGAACTTTTTGATCTGTACATACACAGGGCTAACAATGTTATTAGATAATCCAGATTTTTATGCTCTCATGGATACACATAGAAGTTTCTCAATTATTGGATAATCTATTTCATATTATGGAAGCATATTTTTCTGTAAGACTCACTGATATATATTATACTGATGCAAATATTAAGTAGGGCATAAAAACAAAATTTATCAAAGATAGATTTTTATGTAATCATATTTAGTCCTTTCATAGCTTTTCTTGTTTAGCAAAGTAAATGACAAAGCACATAAAACAGGCGTGCATTCCCTGAACTATACAGGTGGTAATCCAATCAATTCTCCATCCAGTTCAAACTCTTCTGTCCCGTCTGGTGAAAAAAAGTAAGTTGGTGGCTTCCATGGAGATTCTTCAAGGCAGGATGGATAAAGTTTCCCCACAGTGCATCGAAAGTCTCTCCCGAGGTCCCATAGAACACGTTCAGATATATGCTGCCGCAAAGACCACCAGTCAAGTTCCAGATCGTACTGGTAGGTGACATATTTAGCTCTCTCATTTAGATGTGTTTCTCGCATGAACACACACAGGGAATTAGATATCACAACAGCTCGAACACAGGGGTCTGAGTACCTCTTTGCAGGTATGTTGGCAGCCATTTTCCACTCATTTTTATTCACATCATAAATTTCCACAGTTACTGAAGACCCATCTACTGTTCCAGAGGGGAATCTTATGCCAGAATTGGTAGCAATACGCAATCCACCGATATAGAAAATTTTATCACCAAAAGCTGCAGCTGAAGCAAAAGACCTACTTGTCTGTCTCATGGCCATTTCTACCCAGGAATCAGATCTTGGGAAGTAGCAGTACATAAGGTTCAGTGTCATGACATAAATGCAGTCATGAACCACAACTGCAGCACTCCACTGCCAAGCACAAGGCAAGGGACTGACCATTGTCCACTCGTCCTTCTCAGTGTCGTATCTCTCTACAGTCCTCCGATTAAGCTCTCCACCAACACTATCACCTCCAATTGCATAGATATAGCCTTCGCAGCAAACCAAAGATGGTTTTATGCGGACAAAATGCATCGGGGTCTTTGGAAACCAGGTATTTTGCTGTGCATCAAACCAGTAAAAGCAATTCACAGTTCTGAAGGCAGTATAAAGTTTGCTTGTTTTACTGTGATTTGTTTTTGAGTTTTTCAGAGGAACTTGACCACCAGCTATGTAGATGTCATTATCGGGAGTAACAACAGTGCCAACTTTATGTAAATCAGCTGGAGGGCTGCAGAGCTTGTAAACTTTTTCTGCTTGGGGGCTGGGTTTGAGAAGAGAGGAGCGCCGCGTGACTACCGGAGAGGGGACGGCAGCCGCTCACGGCTGCGTTTCTCCAGGCGTCTGCCGGGATGCCTCAACATGTTATTTTTAATATTTTAAGCCTATCTTTTTATTTTGGAAAAGTGTTTTCCATTTTCTATTTTTATTAAAGCATCACATACAGTGTTTATTCTTTCTTTTGATTGTCAACTCAAATAAGTCGTTTTTGCATTTGGGGATAAAAAGAACTTTAATTATTAGTGGAGTTTCAAGGAGACTCTGAGGAATAAATTGGAGTGAAACAACTTCACCATTGAAGCACAGAATTTTGATTTTTAAAGTCTTGACAAAACAGGTTACCTCCAAAAGAAGAGAAATTTACATCTGACGTAAGTTAGGAAGAGTCAAAGTATTTAAATCTTCCAGCATTCTCCTGGTAATTCTAACACCCAAACTCAGCATTTACATTCTGAGGACCTGAGGCAGGATGTAAGCAAATGCAATCATAAAAAGAAAAAAAATATGTAAATTCATGAAATCTCTTAAGTCTCACCAGACTCCAGAACCTCTTTCCAGAACTGGGTAACATGTAGAAGTGCCTGGGGGAAATCTAAGACTGGGAAGCATTTGCTGTGAGTACTTTCACAAAAGGACCTTGCATCCCCTCCAGCCTATTAGTGGTTGTCAAACAGTAAATGGGTTTGACTTGTTCTGCACAGCAGGGGATATGATCCCTGCACTGGATTTCTCTGGGAACCCTAAAACACAGACTGGAGAAAGGAATTGCACCCCAAGGAAAGAAATTATATGGTTCAGCAATTTCAAAGCAAAGAGTAAAGGCTCCCTATCCTCTAGCAAGTTAGTTAGCCCCTGCATGAAACAGTAATCAGACTTCTTTGTTATTCTTTATGAGGCCAGATGGCCTTTGTTCCTGCAGTAGTACCAGCCCTCCCAACATGTCATCCCTGCATCAGGACTTAATTCTTTAGCTCAACTGTTTCCCTGGCTCTATGATGGGTCATTTTTATCTCAAAGACCACGCCTTCACGCTTCAGGCTGGTTTAGGTTACAGACAATGTTTTTTCCATATGTATTGCCATGGCCCCCATTTTTCTTTGTGCAACAAAATCCTAAAAGATAGTGACGTAGGCAGGATAGGGAAGGTCTCTCCCAAGGCAAAGGCAAAAATTTCCTGGGAAGAAATAGCCCCAAAGTAACTGATAAGACCCTCAGAAGAAAACCTGAAAAAATAGGAACCAACACCTGATAAGTTGTCTTTGTACAGGTCCTTTACTTACTTAGCTAAGCTGATTCCTAGGTATTTGATTTTCTGAGGCACAATTGTGAACGGGATTATTTTTTTCATGTCACTTTCTTCTCTCTCACTATTTGCATATAGGAAAGCCATGGACTTTTGGGTATTGCTGTTATAGCCTGCAACTTTACTATACAAGTCTATTGTTTCTAGGAGTTTCTTGGTAGAGGTTTTAGGGTTCTCTAAGCATAGTATCATATCATCTGCTACTAGGGAGAGTCGCAATTGATATGTTGATTTCTTCCTTTACTATCTGAATGATTTCTTCCTTTACTTCTTTTACTACCTGAATGACCTTAATATCTTTTTCTTGCCTAATCGCTATTGCAAGTAGTTGCAGTACTATATTGAACATCAGTGGAGCACAGCGGTAGGGCGTTTGCTTTGCACGTAGCCAACATGGCCGACCCGAGTTCAATTCCTCCGCCCCTCTCGGAGAGCCCGGCAAGCTACCGAGAGTATCTCACCCAAACAGCAGGGCCTGGAAAGCTCCTCGTGACATATTCGATATGCCAAACACAGTAACAACAAAGTCTCCAATGGAGACGTTACTGGGCCCGCTCAAGCAAATCGATGATCAACGGGAGGGCCTTTACTTTTACTTTACTTTACAGTGGAGAGAGTGGGCATCCTTGTCTGGTCCCTGATCTTAGAGGAAGGCTCTAATTTTTTTTCCCCATTGAGGATGATGCTTACTGTAGGCTTGTGGGAGATGGCTTTAACTATATTGAGGAAAGTCTCCTCTATACCCATTTTGGCAAGAGTTTTCATCATAAATGGATGCTGGATCTTGTCAAATGCTTTCTCTGCATCTATTGATATGATCATATGCTTTTTATCTTTTCTTTTGTTGATACGATGGATTATGTTGATTGATTTCCGAACGTTAAACCATCCTTGCATCCCCAGGATGAATCACACTTGGTCATGGTATATGATCTTTTTGACGAGTTGTTGAATTCTATTTGCGAATCGTTTGTTGAAGATCTTTGTGTCTGTATTCATCAAGGATATCGGCCTGTAATTCTCTTTCTTTGTGGAATCTCTGTCTGATTTTGATATCAGGGTGATATTTGCTTCATAGAAACAGTTTGTAAGTGTTTTTGATATTTCAATTTCATGGAAAAGCTTAAAAAGGATTGGGAGTAAGTCCTCTTTAAAGAATTGGAATAATTAACTAGTGAATCTATCTGGGCCAGGACTTTTGTGCTTTGGGAGACTTTTTATTACCATTTCAATTTCCTTGATGGTGATAGGTCTGTTAAGGTATTCCAGGTCTTCTTTAGTTGTTTCAAGTTTAGTTGTTTCAAGTTGTGTCAAATTCAGCCTTGGGAAGCTATAGGAATCTAGGAATTTATCCATTTCCTTGAGGTTTTCGTGTTCCATGGCATAAAGCTTCTCAAAGTACTCCCTGGGGATCCTTTGAATTTCTGTAGTTTCTGTTGTAGTGACCCTCTTTTCATTTCTGATTCGGTTTATTAGGGTTTTCTCTCTCCCTTTCTTTGTGAATTTTGCTAGAGGCTTATCTATCTTGTTAATTTTCTCGAAGGACCAGCTCTTGGTTTCATTGATCTTTCGGATTGTTTTTTGGGTTTCTGTCTTGTTAATCTCTACTCTGAGTTTTATTATTTCCTTCCTCCTGTTTGAATTAAGGTCCTATTGTTGGTAATTCTCCAAGCTTTTAAGCTGTGAGGTTAGGTTACTTATGTGGGCTCGCTCCTCCTTCCTGAGCAATGCTTGTAGAGCTATAAACATTCTTCTTAACACAGCTTTTGATGTGTCCCATAAGTTTTGGTAACTCATGTCCTAATTTTGGTTCGTTTTCAGGAATCTTTTGATTTTCTCTTTGATTTCCTTTCTAAGCCACTCGTTGTCCAAATGTGAACCATTTAATTTCCAGTTGTTTTATTTAGTTTTCTGTTTGTGTTTATGATTTACTTCTAATTTCAGTGCATTATGGTTCGAGAGATGAACTGGAGTGATAGCACAGTGGTAGGGCATTTGCCTTGTGCACGACCAGCCCAGCCAATCCTGGTTTGATTCCTCCACCTCTCTTGGAAAGCACAGCAAGCTACCGAGAGCATCTTGTTCGCATAGCAAATCCTGACAAGCTACAGTGACATATTCAATATGCCAAACACAGTAACAATAAGTCTCACAACGAAGACGTTACTGGGCCCGCGAGTGTATGTTTAGTTGTTTCAAGCACTTTGCTATTTCAGGAAATGAAAGAAGACACGACAAAATGGAAAGATATCCCCTGATCATGGATCGGAAGAATTAACATTGTCAAATGGCAATACATCTCAAAGCATTGTACAAATTCAATGTGATCCCTATAACAATACCCATGACATTCTACAAAGAAATGAAGCAAACATTCCTGAAATTCATATGGAACCATAAGGCCCCATGAATAGCTAAAGCAATCTTGGGGAAAAATTGGAAGAAATTAACCTCCTTAACTTCAAACTCTACTACAAAGCAGTAATAATTAAAGCAGCATGGTACTGGGACAAATTCAGGGCTGTAGACCAATGGAACAAGGTTGAATATACTGAAATCTTCCCCCAAACATATGATCATCTAATCTTTGACAAGGGAAAAAGAAATGTGAAGTGGAGTACAGAAAGCCTCTTTAACCAATTGTGCTGGCAAAATTGGATGGCTACATGCAAAAATTGTGCTCATATCTCTGCCTAAAATCATGTACAAAAGTAAGATCAAAATGGATTAAATACCTCAAAATCAGACTGGAATCCATAAGGTACATTGAAGACAAAGTTTCATGACCTTGAAGCTAATGGTATCTTGAAAGATGTCATGCCGCTGGCCAAGCAAGTGAAAACAGAGATAGACAAATGGGACTATTTTAAATTAAGAAGCTTCTGCACCTCAAAGAACATTGACCAAAATACAAAGACAGTCTACAGATTTGAAAAGGATATTCACCCAATACCCATCAGACAAGGGGTTAATATCAAGAATATACAAAGTACTGGTTTAACTCCACAAGAAGAAAACATCAAACCCCATCAAAAAATAGGCTGACAAAATGAACATAAAATTTCTCAAAGAAAAAATCTGAATGGCAAAAATCACATGAGAAAATGCTCTACACCATTAATCATCAGGGAGATGCAGATCAAAACAACAATGAGAAATCATCTCACACCACAGATACTGGCCCACATCTAAAGAAAAAAGTAACTAGTGTTGGGGTGATTATGGTGAGAAAGGGACTCTCCTTCACTACTGGTAGGAATGTTGACTGGTTCAGCCCTTTTGGAAAACAGTATGGACGATTCTCAAAAAATTAGAAATTGAGCTCCCATTTGACCCAGCAATACCACTCCTGGCAATATATCCCAGAAAGGCAAAAAAGTATAGTCGAAGTGACATCTGCACTTGTTAGTTCATTGCAGCACTGTTTACAATAGCTAGAATCTGGAAAAAACCTGAGAGCCTGCAACAGATGACTGATTAAAGAAACTTTGGTAAATCTACACAATAGAATACTATGTAACTGTTAGAAAAGATGAAGTCATGAAATTTACATACAAGTGGTACTACATGGAAAGTATCATGTTAGGTGAAATGAATCAGAAAGAGAGGGAAAGGAATAGAATGATTGCATTCATCTGGGAAACATAAAGTAACAAAATAGCAAACTAACATCCAAGAATAGCCAAGATAAGTACAAGGAGGTTCACTCAA